CGGGTTACTTGATTGTGTGAACTTACAGAGGATCATAAATTGCTTCTGTAATTCATGGCAGAGGCTGGGAATGAAAAATACTCAAGAGTTGTTGAGATAAAACATTACTGCAAAAAAATTGAATATCCACTTTTCAATAGCAGCATAATTTCTGAAATTTTATCCAAAGTCCTCGATGCTAATTTGCAGATAGTAAGTACGGGTAACAGCAATTTAAAGGAAATCTGCAGATCATAACCAGGAGCGTTTCATTTTGTAAGTCATAAGCATTCCTCACAAATCCCTATGCCCTGGGGACAGCTGCATGGAAGATCTCTGCTGATTCCATCTCTTCTGCTTTGCTGAGTGTGTTGAAACCCAGTAAGAGAAGGCGTGTGTATGGCCAGCCATGTGAATGATTTGCAGCAGGAGCCAGGTGTGCTTTGCTAAAGGCAAAACCCAGGCAGAGGTGATCAGCAGAGGCACTGAGCCCCATGGTCTGAGCATTGCGCTCGTGGCCTGACGGGAGGCAGGGGGAGGCTGGGGTTCCTTGCAAGATGCATCAGCATAGAAATCCATCTGAATTAAATGTGCTGCCTGGCTCACGTTTTGATGAATACTCACCTGCATTGTGACAAAATCCTATTTGGGTTCTGGGTTCTGGGACAGCAAAATTTGCTTTCTAACCTGAGAGCAATTCACATAGCATGCTTCAGGAGTTACCTTGTCTGTGTAACATGTCCTCACTGGAGGGTACAGACAGGGTACTCTCCTGAGCCCTGTGGCTTTACTGAAATGGATCATTACAGTAACAGAGCTTCCTCTCTTGCTTTACACCAACAAGAGCGTCCTTGTAGATAAGTCCAGAGAAATTTTCCTATTTTCAGGTTGTCAAACAAAGGCTTCTCATAAGATCCTAAAGGCTCACCTGTAAATTGCCACAAAGCTGTTTGTTTTGTTGCTTTTATATGTACACACACTGCCAGCTACTTCTGCTAGTAGTTGTGTTAGAAACATGCAAATTTCTAAGTAGAGATATTTTTTTTATTCCTGTCTCCATTTGAACACAGCAAAACTGTCTTTGTTCTGTGCTAACCAAAATGGAAGAAGTTTCAGACGAAGCCAACCCTGGACATTTCCAGCCTCCTGGATTGTTAGGAGTGCTGAGGAATTAGAATGGAGGAACACAGAGAAAATCTGCAGCTACTGCTCAGTGGCAGAAGTGGTCCCAGGGCTGCTCCTGTGTGTTCAGGCAGGGATGCAGAGCTCTGCCTCTGTGGAGTGCTTAGGGCCGGGATTCCTGCTGTACTGGTAGCTATCTGATTGTGTTATGAATGTGCTATTGGTAAATAGTGTGCTGAACCACACAGCAGTGCCTCTTGTGATGTCCTCTGTCAGCTGATTCATGGTATCAAGGCCTGGCCCATGCACAAAGTGGTGTTCAGGTTGAGTCAGCAGTATCCAGGCATTCTGCTGAACAGACAGGACGATGCCAGACTTAGAGTAGAAATGGATGGATTAATTTACAAAAAAATAATATGGCTCACAGAATTCATTAAAAGGTTGCTTGGTGCTGCTAGAGAAGTCTGATGATCTCATTAATTAGCACTAGAAGTAATAGATTAGTTGGTTCTGAGTTCTTTTGGTGGATGATTGAGCATTATGTGGCACTACAACAAATAGGAAAGTGATTGCACAATGTTTATTACTCTGGCATTTAGTAATACTGCAGTGGTTGAAGAATAAACTCTTAATTATGAGTATTGATTTCTCTGGGGCTTAGAGAAGGCAAGTTGGAACTGCGCTGGAGAAGAGGTTTTCCTGTTACCTGCAAAAAGAGATGTGTTTTTCCTGGCAAACTTCAATGTAAGTTATTGAGCAGGAAGCCAGAAAGGCAACTTCCAATTTTCCAAGTAAGTTTACAAAAGGCATTTTGTCACAGAGCTGAAGACTGCTTTTTTTAATGTGACATGAAGGCCTATGGTGTGCCACATGCATGGTAGGTCTGTTAGGAACACTGTTGTTAGTGCTGTTATACTCTTCCCATTGTTTATACAGCCCTGAACTCCTGCTGTATTTATGGAGCGAAAGAATACTCAGTGTTTCACCTTATTCAGAAATCCAGCTGGTTCTCTATTTAATCAGCAGAGCAGTCTGCTCATCAGCCCCAGACTGAAAACAGAGAAGTGCCAGTATAGAGCTGAAGCAGCACATACTCTGATGTATGGAAAAGTTGCAATGTTCTTACCTTCGTGAAATTCCAGGCAGGCAGGGAAAGGATTAGAAGCCAAAATAGCGTGCAGGTGGAAAATGTGACTGAAAAAACCTGAACCTTAAAAGGCAGAAGGAAGAAACATAGGAAAAGAGGAAAATAACAGAGAGGAGAGTAAGTCACTGCAGGAATTTATTAGAGAAACCCGGTAAAGTGCGGTGGCATTTCAGATGCAAATTCAGGAGGATTTTGTTTTCAGTAATTGCTAGGTAAATGATAGTGTGGATATTGAAAGCAAGTGAGTTTAAAATAAAAGACCCACAATGCAGCTATTTTAAATTCCTGTCACCTTCTGCATATCATTGCAGAAAGCCACTAATTTCAGTAAAGAGGTATCCAAAAATGTAATGAAAACCACTAAAAATATTTGTGCCCACTGATGGGACATCGACAGCTTGAAATCAGAGCAATTTAAATGAAAAATTGCTTGTTTTAGCTATTGCAATTGCCCTTCAGTCTCCTGTCAGTTCTCCTTGTATATTTTTTTCCTTTCACGGTCACTTTGTGTCCCTGCTGCTGAGCTGAAGCCCTGAGCACACACATGGGGAGGCTCAGCAGTGATGTAGGAGGAACAGAAGAACTGAGTGTATGTAAATGCCACAGTAGACAAACTGGATGTGATAGAAGAAATGAAATTTAAATTCTGTTCTAATCTTTTAATCTGAGTTCATCCGAGTCTTAGTGAGTTAGTGGATGATTTTGTAAAGAAATGCCATTTAAGTTGGTGGTGTGCTTTTTAACGTTAGGAGTGATTCATGGCTAGAGATTTTTTGATAGGCAATCTGAACACATCTTGAGGCATTAAAGTTGCATTAATTTGTGAGCAGTACCACTCCAGATAGACTTTCCCTGAGGGGCTGCAAGGAGGTAAAGGTCTTTTACATGGGACAGATAGGCACATATCTGCCTTTCAACCCCTTATGTGGTACAGCAAAGAGCCTTACTGCAGAGATTGGATGCACTTCTCACATGGATAGCTTTTCTTGGCCTCCAGGACAGAAGAAACATGTTATCTAAGGCAAAGCACTACAGAAGTATGGCTGAGGAGAAGGACCTGGAGGGAGTGTCACTGGAGATGCTGAAGCTATTCCTTTCCATCACATGGTGCTGCCTTACAGCAGGATCTGTCTTGTGGTTGTCTAAAGAAACGTTTCGATTACTCAAACAAAAGTGCATAAATCTATTGCATCTGCTGTCGGTGTGTGAGCTGAGCAGAGGGGCAGCCCAGGGGGCAGGAGCTGGAGCTCGCCTCTCAGGACACACTCCTCTGCTCTTCTTTCCCACACAGCAGGGCTGTGGAGCACCCACGGGCTGAAGGACTGCTTTCCTGCTGGGGGGACCAAACTTCCCACCCAACTGAGTGCTCTGGTTGAGCTGGTTATTTATTGGATACATACAGGTGCATTGAATCTGAAGGATCCTGTTACGCCAGAGCACGGTGTATGGGTTAAGTTGATGTTCTTGCATGTGATCACTGCTGCTGCTTTCACCTGGCGTAGCTCATGTATGTCCATTTCTGCACCTTTCTCTGTAGTGTCAAGTGAATGTTTGAATCCTGCTCACATTCACTTCTATTTGCAATAACTAATAACTATTTCCAATATAATTAGAAGTTCAAGCTTTTCAGGACGGTCAGATAGATTTTCTTTTCTGACAAAATGAACCAGAAAGACAGCACAGATGAAAAATTGTACCTTTTTTTTCTTCTTTTTTTTTTGTTTTTTTTTGTTGTTTTTTTTTTTTGTTTTGTTTTGTTTTGAGGAGCTCAGTTGCATTTTAGACAATGATACTGCCTAGAAAAAAAAAAGTTTACGTTTGCAAGGGGGAAATGGAGGCAGGAGTGATTTGGAGTTTGTTAATCTTTGGGGTGCTTTCCTTCTGCTTACATGCAAAATTGCAAGTTCTTCCTAAAACATTTCTATTGAGAAAGATCCTGACAAGGTCAAAGGGATGAAGATGTTGTTAGATGAAGAGTGAGTGGTAGTTTTTAGGATAAAATTAGTGTTTTCTTCTATCATGGTCAGATTTTTGAGATGAAGGCATGTTACACGAAACCAAAACAGGGCTGTCTACATTCCTGAGTAAAAATGTCCCTTCAGCACTAATCAGTACATCCAGCCAAAAACCTACAGTGTGGTGTTTTCCTTAGAAAATTGAGACCATAAATTCCTCTGTTAGTATAAAAAAATAAAAAATAGATTTGAGAAAGGATTCTGAGGCTCAGTCTCACACATGGAGAAGCAGAGGTGCACAGGATGCCATTTAAATGTTCAAGGCTACTCCTGCAGTTGCAAATAGATGCTATCTGTCAAGATAATCCTCAGCTGCTGTTAAATAGCAGAGTTTTACCAGCCTCTCAGCAGAGCAGTGCTGATCAGAGAAATGAGGGTTGTTTGATGGAGCGAGGGGTCTCTTGCTGAGGAGTTAGCTTTGGTATTCTGAAAATATTTTGAACAGCACTTAGAAACTTTGAGGTGATTGCTTTGAAGGTTCAAGTGTGTGTGTCCAGGCAGAGCTTGGTGCGTCTGACTCAAAGAAGGAGCTCAGGCTTTTGGGTCCTTTCCTATGCTCATGTGGCTCGGTCTGGGTGGAAGCCTCCAGGTGGGGACGGTTTTGGTGCAGCATGGGCTGGCACTCCTTGGAAGTTCTCACTTCTCCTTAGAGACTGGTTTTTAAAAAATGAGCCAAGGTCAAATGCGTGCTGCTCTCAGATACACTCAGAGATGTCCTGTGTTTTGTTTTCAAACAGGAAAAGCCAACAACAATGTACAGTGGGATGAGGACTCCGTAGAGTACATGCCAGCCAATCCAGTCAGGATCGCATTTGTCTTGGTTGTTCATGGCAGAGCTTCTCGGCAGCTCCAACGCATGTTTAAGGCTATTTACCATAAAGACCATTTTTATTACATTCATGTTGACAAGGTAATATATCACTGGTTATAAATTGCCTGTCTCACCATCTGTCAGTCTACCCATCTTTGTCATCTTCTTCATCTTCTCTTTACCTCTGCCACATAAAGTGCATGTCACTTCTTATCTTTCCATCTGTTACATGTTTGGAGCCACGTTTTGTATAACTCTTTCTTGTTATCTTGTCTGTGTAAGAGCTTTCATCTCTTTTTGTATGTCTTTGAGTATCTATCCATGTCTGTCTGTTGTACACTTAGTAATTGACACGTTGCTGCAGTGGCCTCTTAAATGGAGAGCTGACCTGAGGTCCTTTGGGGCAGCTGAAGATGCAGGTGTTAACAGAGCTACCTAGGATCTACTGATGAGAAATTATAACTAAGCATTAATTGTACTGCTTAATAGTTACTTGAGTTGTAATGAAATGAGCTAAAAGAGGGAGCTCTACACATTTCATTATTAACATTTTGCAGAAGAAGGCTGTGCGCTGTAGCAGCTGAAGGACAAAGGTCACTACACTCAGGTAGTCAAGAAATACAGCTACTGGTTAGTCAATGCAGGGAGGGACAGTTTTGGACAGAGTAACTTGAATATGTCACTTTTTTCTCCTGTAAAGCGATCCAATTACTTACACCGGCAAGTGCTCCAGTTTGCTAACCAGTACCCAAATGTGAGAGTCACTTCCTGGAGAATGGCAACTATCTGGGGAGGAGCAAGTCTTCTGTCCACCTACCTGCAGAGCATGAGGGACTTAATGGAGATGAATGACTGGCCATGGGATTTCTTCATTAACCTCAGCGCTGCCGACTACCCAATCAGGTACAGCAAGTCTTTTAAGCACATTTAAACACGTCTCTTGTTCCTAAGGGAAGTAAGTACTGCTGTAAGGGATGGTGTTTCTGTGCTGCAAGAAGTAGAGGTCATAGGAGCAGTTTGTTCTGTTTTACAGCAGGAGACTCCTCTTGGTGAGGCTGGTGTCTGATAACCGTGGTTTTGCCTTGGAGACTGTCACCTTACTGTACCCTATGCATCTGTGGCTGCAAGCAGCTTAGCAGAACCAATTCTTCACTTTCAGTGAGGAAGCAGGTGCTGCTCTATTTAGTCCCCATTTCCAGCAAGGGGCACCTAGAAGAGAGGCTGAGTAAAGTAATGGGAAACACCAGAGCTAAATGAACTCCAGGCATGGAGAGATTGCTCCCTGCCAGGGCTCTGATCAACAGTTTGATTTGATGTCTCAGAAGGAGCTGAAGGTGTGAATGTAGATTCAGTGAAGGTAATGTTCTGTTCTTCCCTTTTTTAGTACTTTTTCTGTAAGGGATAATGATAGTAGAAGTGACAAATAAGTTGCTAGGAGTCAATTATATCTTCAGCACCAACCATTCCCTGAATGTCTCTATTCAGACACCATCAGGGAAGGAACTTCACACATCACCGCATGATAAGGCTTGTGATTTTAAGTGAAATTACGTTCTTTCTGCATTTACATAACCCAGGCAATACAACTGCATTCAGTGAAGTTTACTACGTTATGCAAAAGTAGGCAATAAAAAGGGGAAGGAGAGTGAAAACTACAGAAAGCAAAGAACAACTGTGCTTCAGCTGTTGTTTCTAGGCTATAAGAATTATCAAGAAGAGAGAAGGAGGAAGTTCTCCTTGTGACATCTGTTTCCCTTCATACTGAAAGGAATCAAGGAAAGGGAAATAACTTTCTTGGGTAATTCTCCTATAAGTGATGACATTGCATGCTCTTTATACTAATACAAAATAAATATATTAGCAAAAGGCAGTAAAAAGAGCTGATTAGATTTCTTCAAGATCTCAAATAATGGGACTTTTCTGAATCTTCCATCTCAGACAGGAATCCCCACAGAAGTGTGAATTGAAAACAGCATGAGCTTTTGCCTTAGGAGGGATTCCTGTGAGAAGTGGCAAAAGGCTTTGTCACTGGTGCCCATTTCTAAGCACTGTCAGTCAAATGCAGCGTGTTTTGGGGAGGAAAACTAGGCAAGAATATAAGAGTCACAGAGAGTGCACTGATATTGGACCAAGGGAGCTTGAACTTAGGACTCAGTATTTCACATTGCATCTGATTTGGTGTCCTACAGGAAGAGCTGTAGCAATTTTGGCTGGATGTTGTGTTGAGGGACATGGTTTAGTGGGAGCTATTGGGAATAGGTGAACGGTTGGACTGGATGATCTTTTAGGTCTTTTCCAACCTTGGTGATTCTATGATTCTAGGAATGTGTGAGCAATCAACTATGTGTGATTGTAAAGGAGAGCATGTAACATTCTCTGTGTCTCCTGAGTTCTGCAAAAAAAGTAGCTTCTTACTCCCTGTGACTTATTTTCCTGCTCAGGAGTCCTACACTGATGATAAAAAGCAGAATAATGAAAGGCAACAGAGGAGAAAGGCAGGTGATGTGACTTGTAATCAAGTAAGATAAATTATAAGTGAATAAATGGTTGGAGGTGTAGTGTAATTACAGGACAGTCCCAGCAGATGTATCCAGTTACCATGCTGTGGTATTGTGTTCACCCTAAACGTAATCTTGTAGCGCTGAGGCCGTGACCTGCAGCATTCGCAAATGCTCTGCGAAACAAGTTAAACCTCAGGGCCAAATGGGATCAGTCACTAACAGATGTGGCCATAAACAGCCACAGGATTTGTTGAGTAGGCTGCAGTCAGTTCTGCATTAATGGATTCTTTGTAGTATGCCGTGGTATCTTAAAGTCATTCAAACTCCAAACAAGTGCCATTCAGCTGGAAAAATTCCAGGCGTTTGTTTCTTCATGGTGGGAATTGTTGAAGGCTGCACTGCTGCGTTGCAGCTGCTCTGGGATTGCGTGGTGGGCTGCCAGCAGCTGGGCAGGCGCTGAAGTGCTCACTTCCCTTTCTGTCAAAGCTCTCTGTTACCAGAACTGTTGGATACAGGCTCCCCCTCTACACGATGCACTTCAACACAAAGTAAAATCCCTTTTTTAATGCTGTGACTTCAATAACAGTGAATTACAGGTGCTGTAAAATTTTTGGAATGTGGACTATTACAGTTATAAACCCTAGAAAATGTTAGCTCATCAAAAATATGTATGAGTCTATTTAATTTCCATAGTAGAGGTGCTATAAATTAATATTCTTTACGATCTTAGGAAGGCGCTACCTCTCTGCATACAGGACAGATTGTTTTTTCAAGAAACAGTAAATAGGGTGTTTGAGGGGTTTTTGCTTTTTCCAGACGTTAGGCCATGATTTGTTAGATAATGGGCTAGAGGCAGTTCTCACACTGGTTAGTCATATTGCAGTGTTTTTAGCTAGGCTTCCCTGCATAAGAACATATGAATTTTGTGGATTAATAGTTTTTATCCAGAGCTGCTTCACATTAAGCTTTCGTTTCCCATCTGCCATTCCATCTGTAACACTGAAACCTTTACTGCTTCTCTTCTGATAATAAAAGCTAATCCAGCCTTCTAAGTCAGGAGAACACATTCTATATGCGGGGTTAATTCTGTATGATGAAGCCTAAATCTGTCTGGGGAGCAGTCTGCTATGCTCACAGGCTACATTACAAGTACTGGGAACCCTTCATCTTATAGAAGAGATGCCTAGAAGCAGATGTCAAGGATCACAGCATATAAAGGCACAGGGAGAAAAAAGAAAGAAAGAAAGAAAGATCAGAACCATTCATTATGGGAGGGGAGCAATTAAAATAGAAATAAAACATATGCAAACTAAGAAAATGTGAATATCTCAGTTGCTGTAGTCGTGCCTTAGTGTTTAGCTTTTGAAGCCTTGGTGGACTCTGTCGAGCAGGTACATACAATGAGGTTCTCATTCACGTGCTTCTAGTTGTCACTGCAGTAGAAATCGCTCACACAGTCTGAGCATAGAGATACCTCTGAGAAAATACTGCATTTTCCATGAGGCAGTAGGCTGTTTGTTGGCCTGAGGGAAATGATTTGGAGCATCATCTAACTTGACTCTGCTCAACCCTGATAACCATAGTGAGTAGGAGAAGGAGCGATGAAATGGCAGAGAGATACTTTGGGATGGGAGTTTTCTGACTTTTTTCTCTATTTGCTCTAAGGCTGTGTGGTTTAGGGTCTTTTCGTTGTTTTAAGGGTTTAGAAAAAGGCACATGCTTTCACGTTTCTCAAGATACCGTCTCCCACAACCATAACATTCACAGAGAACAAAAAATATACCTTCCTTTTTCTTAGTTTTTTCATGATTATTTTTTTTTTTTGAGGAAGAAGTCTGTTCTTCTGAGAGTCTCTTTCAAAGCTCTGTGGGAAAGCTATCAATGTCTTTATCCTTTTATTTTACATGCGTATCTATTTGCATTATTTATTGCCTCTGACAAACAGCATCAGGTAGTCAACCTTACCTTCAGGGACTGAAATTTCACTCCCAACAAGGGGAACTATGGTGAGCATCTGTTGATGCTGAATGTTTAATGTGCTTTGCAGGAGTTCTTGGGTAATGGGACAGGTGAAGTGTTGTGCACTCAAATGATCTCCTTGAACTTCCTGATTTAACGGTGAATGTCCTGTCAGTGCTTACCTGGTCACAAAGCTTGTACAGAGGATACATGTAATGAAACATTTGAACTTCTTGTAATTTACAGTAAATCACTGAATCTCTATCACCAAAGGGATCACCAAATCTAATTGCCAGCTAATGCTCTGTCTTTAATAAAGGTCAAGCGAAATTATTAGCAGAAGCTTGGGGAGTGCTTCAGAATGGTAAGAAAAAAGAGTGGCTTATTTATGGAAATGGGAATGCAGACAATGCTGATTTTCAATTATGAGCGATTGGGTATAATAAGAAAACCAGTAAAACTATTGTGTTTTGGTAGCTCATGCTATGAAGATGAGTTCATTTTAGGATAAAAATTTTATTGAAATGTCTTCCTGCGTTGTGAAGACTTGGTCAAATGAGATAGTAGAGATTTTGGTGTGGAACTTGAATATGTATCAAAGTACTGGTAGCATCTGGGGAAGGGTGGATACAGGCTCTAAGAGAGTCAATTGAGTGATCTAACTGGGACCAGTACTTTCAGTAACAGGTGCCAAAATTCATGTAACTTGTGATGATCATCTCTGTCAGTCAGAATTGTATTCAAAAATCAAGAAACCACAGCTGACAGAGAGCTCTTGTTTTATTGTGTTCTCCTCTGATCAGGGGCCAAGTTAACCTTTTTAATGCTGAATAGCAATATTCACTACACATTTCAGGGTTCCATAGGAACTTTAAAGATTCCCTGTGAAGCAGGTGGACCTTTTTCTCAGGTCAGCGTTTCCAGTCCATCAGCCAGCAGCAGGCAGGCAGCCTGGCTCTCAGTCTTCATTTGCTCCAGCCGACCTGTGCTCCTGGCTCCCTAGGGGAATTGTTAGCGAAGATAACCACCCAAAATCAACAGTTTTGCTTGAATTCCTGCCAAATCTGAACATGGCAGGCAGCCTAGCAGTGATAAAGCTGTCCTTTCGTTCACCTTTCTTCTTCACAACTTTCATCTCTCGTAGCTTACATGTCCAGGTCCTGCACTTGGGCCCCACTAGGGACCAGAAATTGCTTCCTTTGGGTATCAGGAAAGGAAACAAAAGAGAAAATGTTTTGCCACTTTTTCAAGTTGTTTTTCAGGTGATGGGGTGACCCCAGGGATTAGCAGTTTCCTTATTTCAGCAGAGCATGGGTGGCTGACACTATGTAAAGTTCACTGGAGATGGGTTTTGTTCTGTATAGCAGATTTCCGATGACCTGATAAGGTTTGTTGTGGACTTTTGACCTAATGGCCAAACCTTTCAAGCGGATGACAGAGAAA